GAAAAATACACCAGTCAGACTGATTTTTAGACTTTGAAAAATTTTAAACACTTCGCGAATAATCACGACTGCAAACAAGTGCAAAAAAAGTTCAATTACTGGGCTAAACCCCCGTCGCTTTTTGAGAGTTGAGAATGAAATCGCGAAGGGAAATGAAACAAAAGAACCCGAAATTTAAGAATAAGAGAAAATTCGGAGATTTTTTTGCTAAACACACTAGTAAACCAAGACTTTAACATACTAGTAAACCAAAACTTTCGGTTAAAGTCTTTTATAATTAATAATTTACAGTGAATGGAATAAAGTCGGGTGTGACAAAGACTTCAGTTTATCTTTTATAACTAGCGTAGTCTTGGAAATTTAAAAGCTCAAAGTCAGAGGCGAAATATTATAAAAAGCATTTATGTACGAGAAATAACGAACATTCAAGCAAACTGTGTCCAAATATGCCTCTTTGAATCTTATATCCGGATAATTCGCGGCCTGTTCGCGACACATACTGAGAAAGAGCCCATCCGACTTGCGCATTATGTTCGCTTTATGTACTGCAGTGACCTCGGCACGGCCGTTTCGCTGCGCATAGTCGAAGGCATATTTGGCAATGCGTCGCGATGCTTCCTCAGTGATCAGCTTGATACTTTGCACAACACCGCTCACAATCTAAATCACATCACACGGGAATGTCATAAAAGTTCACTCAAATGAGGGTAAATGGCACGCTTTACTACACTTCGCTGCTGCTTACCCCACATTAACCCGAAATGAACACCAATAAATAACAACGCACACCAGACTAGCCGGTGCGATCAGCCCATCGAACGATTGCCTGTCAATGATTTTAACTGCTTTGCACTTTCGTCCATGCAAAAATAGTTCAAACATTGGAAAAAAAGTTAAAAATTTCACGCACCAGCGCATGAAAGCTGAATTCGAAACCTTGAAGGGTGAATATATTTCCGTGATTCCCGAGTTAACAACTTATCCGCCAAAATTTTCACGAGGCCATAGGTGATAATACTCAAGAGAGTGGGAACGCTGATTTTGAATGGGCAAGGTTGAGCATGGGCAGTGGGTCATTACTATAAAATTTCAGCCTCCTAGACTCCGTAGTACCCGAGACATTAATTTACCCGTAAAAAACTTTCACGGGGTCGTACATGCTACCCGCGAGTACGGGAAGGCTGAATTTAAATTTGCGGAGTCACACATTGGTGGGGAACGTTACCCTAAATTTTTAGCTTCCTAGCTTTTGTGGTTCCCGAGTTAAAAGTTGCGAACAAGTTGTTGCGGACACACACATACACACACACACACACACACACAAATACACACACAGACAACCATGTGACAATATGCGTTTTGTAACGCTGCTACGCAGCACAAAACGCATAAAAACGAACTGTGGTCCACCGGAAACATCAAAGCAGCTCGGATATCGCTGTTACTGCGTACATTCAAATGCTAAGATCTAGCTACACAAATCCTGGACAGTCACAGTTACTGACATTTTTTTCAAATATGCAAAACTTTGAAAAATCGCGGTGCTGATGTTCAAGAAACAATTTTCAAAAGGTGATTTTCAAGACAACTTCAAAAAACTGCAACGATAACAGACAAGGTGCAAAAGGTGCTTCTAACTGACAAAAGATCTACTCGAAAAAAAGAAAAAAAGGAAACTTCCCTAAAGATTTCTTGAAGTAATGCTACGGTCAACAAAGAATGATAAATTTTGCACAGATTCAGCAAACAATGTTCAAAGAATGGTAAATTTTTATTACTTCAATTATCACTTAAACGCGAAAAAATAAGCTAAAACTAAATCCTAATGAACAAATGCTAAGGAATAAAACGAATGATTATTCCCCAAAAGAAACCAGTATTCAGGGATACCGAAACAACTAAAAAACCGCTTTATTAAAATAACTAATAAACGGTGTGCAGTATAAACAAGTTAATTACATTATAATTACTACCCGCATCCCTTCATTCACGTAAGTACATGACAACAAACAGAGCTAGAACCACAAGTTCAGCCTAGAACGTTCTGGCGGAGTCTTCAGGAAAAGCTAAATTATCCTCAGCGCAGTATATGCTAAAAAAGCAGCAAATTCTGCAAGCACCTCATGCTCGATGCCCGAATATTCGCCTTCGGTATTCTCTCGGATGGTTACAATATCGACATTATCGTAAAGCGTTTTGTGACCTGCCAGCGATCGACAGGGTCGCACATTTGCAAAAAGCTTGAATTCTCTGCAAAATTTCATCGTTATCTTCTTTCAGTAACATCAAAGATTTAACTAAACGTATTTGATTCGATTAAACTCACTTCCTGACAGCGAGGTTCAGTGACCTGTGACCTTTGCCAATCGGTGTCGCAAGAGGACCCTTCAGGCCAATTCTGTTGGCATGCATAAGTTCGATACATCTGCAACGATTCTCACATACAGTAATAGATAAATGCAGCACGTTATCCTCAACAAACCATTAGCTGGCACTTCGCTCAAATAATCCAGAATAAAAAAAGAACAGAATAACAGGACTGGTATAAAGTCTTGAAAATAGAAGGATCCATCTCGATGACGGAATTAGGTGAAGTTCAGAACCAAACAGGACTGTGGTGTTAGATTTATTTACCAGAAGTTGGAGCTAAAGAACAGTGAAACTGGGAAACTAGAGATGGATTTCTGCTATAACATCAAGGAATAATCTCCCAAAATTTCAGCTTTTTCTAGATACAAAACAGAAAAATGTGTAACCTTGACACCTGAATACACAAACAAGGCCTTGTCAACATGTTCCTGCACTCGCATCAATATAAAAGGCTCATCAAAATGATATTAGCACATACAATAAAAAGAGATCTATACTTTATATCGTCTTTGAGTTTACAAATCCCAAACCAAGGGGAAAAAATTCTTACCCATGGAGAAATCAGTGAGAAAATCGATTTTGTTTCGATTAAACAAAACCACTAACAGCATCAGTAAAACACGATTTCTCATCTCTGAGGCAAATTGTTATTTGAAAAACGGACCTCGGAGGAATATGGAATAATCCGTCGCGTCCTTTGATCGGTGTCACATCGACAGCATCCCACTCTATTGGTGCTTTTGCCGCTTCAAATATTTTCTGCACTGAAGACGAGATTTCCGGCCCAATGCCATCGCCTGAGGGAAAAATATCTTTGAGAAATAAAACAGTGAAATGTGTCAGATACCTCAGAGTTGAAGAAAAAAGGTAACAAGAACTGCTTCAAAATGCTCAGCAATAGCTCAGTCCAGTAATCTCACTCCTCAACTCCTAATTCAGCGGGGCAAACACCGTTCCAGCAGCGTCCCTCACGTAAGA